AGTGAGGGGTATTTTAATGGGTTACTGGCTCTTGTGCTGCCTCCAGATATGGTGTGGGGGTTTTTTTTGGCACAAATGGTACATGTGTGGAAAGTTTGAGCTCAAAATGAAAGCAAGGACCTATCAGGGACGAGTATTTAAATGAACCTCTGATAAATAAACGACTCTGAGTTCAGGGAATTAGCTTTTCTCTACAATCACAGGTATTTTAATCACCACTTACTTAGTTATTAGCAGCATAAACACAAGTTTTGAGTCATTAAAAAAGAAGCTCTAGCTAGTATTTTGACTTAATTACAATGAAACGTTAAGTGTCATGTACTTAATTACTCTAATTATTAAGACTGTAAGTTGGCACATTTAAAAAATAAAGTTGCTCCACTGTAGTTGTGCTGTGTGAGGAGGGGAAGAGACTTGAAATCCTGACCTCAAGGTGAAGAAAAATGTAAATTATTAAGCCAGTTTCTTTAACTTTGGTTTATTCATGGAGAAAATTAAATTAAAAAATGTTTTAAAAACCTAAAAAACATTGCTAGGCTGTCCTGAGAGCCTTTCTGCTGCATAAATCCTCTTTCAGCTTGTTTCAAATATACAGAAACTGTTTGATGTGTTGTATTGCTGTGTTGTGTTGTGTAGGGACAGGAGTGGATCCTGTCCGCAAGGTGAAGAAAAATGTCATTTCTTTGAGTCACCTCAACTTTGATTCAGTTTTAAAACAATTAGGCCAAAAAAATGTAAGTTTAAATGACCCACAATATGAAGTTGTTGTAATTAATATGTCAACTAAACCCACTAAAATGATGCTAAATGATTCATCTAAATCAGTGAATTCGATGTATTTGTCCTGCAGCCATGCATTTAAACATGTGGTGTGAATAACTTGCTTGAATTCCTTTTTTCCCGTCAGTGCTGCACATGTTTGTGGGTGACTCAGTGAATAATCTGTAGCTACATGTCACATACAGCGCCCTCCATGATTATTGGTTAAGATGTGTTAAAAGCCTTAAAATAAATTCAGTTTTTATTGCAGAATCATCCTCTCACACTGAGAATTGTAGAAAAATGTCACCTTCAACTCAACTCAAATGAATTGTTGGCAAAAGGTTGTTGGACAAAATATTAACATCAGGGTGCTGATTATCGTGGAACACATGATTTGATGTAAAAGAATGATTTTTTTAATGTGGGATTTTTTTTCATTTTTGAATAAACGCACGTGAATTAAAGGTTGAATTTTCATCTCTTCTTTTTCTATATTATTTAGAAAATAACTGAATTTACTAGAAGCTGACGAACACGTCTGAACCAGGGGCGCTGCAAATATGAACAAAAGCAGAACAATGATTCCTCACAGAACAAACTCTCAGATTCACTATAAGTTCAAATCCTGCACGATGTGTGGCTTCAGCACAGGTCGCCATGAATCAGTCCATTTAGGAGCACGTTTGAGAACAGAACAACATTAAATAATAAAGAAACTCCAGAAGAATACTTTTAAACGATGCTACTTCTTTAAATGAACATGCAAGAAATTAAAATCCCGAAATCCTCGGCGTGTCTTAAGGACAGCGTCGCCCGGTAGGCTTTACTTTGGTGCCCTGCGGCTTCACAAACGTGTCATGGCGTCTGGTTCCGGTCTGGTGACAGCGATCACACCAGAACACACATGTGGCACAAAGTCAGACTCACAGAGAAAGCTGCACAAGGCTGGTTAAAAAAGATAAATATTAATATATCTGCACCCTCAATATTCTTGTAAATAATACGACAGTTTTATGGTTCTTATTTAAAGTGACCTTTAATTATTCACTCCACAACATCTGTTTTTTGCTTCTGCTTTGCACGATTACAGTTATTCTTATTTTTAGCTACTTTTATTTTGCTCTGTGTTTATTGTTGTATTATGGCACCAACCCACCAGAACAAATTCCTCCTGTTGTGTAAACTACACCTGTTTCTGATTCTGATTCTGGAAATCGTTAATGCGGCCGCTCTTGCTTACAGATGTTTTTTTCTTTTTTTAAAATAGTTTCTAAGACTTACCTGGTGAGGATTTACACATTGGACTCATTTTAAGTTATTTTCGAATGTGTCGGTTCAGCCCCTCCTCCTCCTCCTCCTCCTCCACCACCACCGAACCAGTTTATTCAGCATCGCTCCATAAAAACCCACCAGTACATCTTCCACAGGTGACTGCTCTCTACCTTTTTGACGCACCACCTTTGGCCGTTTCTGTAAAAGCTGACGACGTTAAGAACTGCGTTTCTGTCGGCTGTATCATATCATACATCCACAGTGTTCTTTTGTATTTTTTTGTCCTACTGTTTGGCTGTTACTGTGCTCATTCCTAACTGTATACGCTTCCTACTGGCTCCTTTTCTAAATATATTCTTATTTGTCTGTTTATTCTTGTATTTTGCACCACTGCAGTTGTCTTTTAATTTCATTGCACCTGCGTATGATGACAATAAAAGCATTCCATGTTTTAGTCTAAAAACAAACTGAAAAACTTGCTTGAGGACGCTCAGAACTGCCACCATTAATGTTTTTTTAATTTGTATTGTGTGTGTGTGTGTTTGTGTTCGTACATGCTTCTAAGTGTGTGTGTGTAATGTTGTGTTTTACTCGCGTCTTTTATAGTCCAGCTTTTTTGTGACATTTTAATATTGTGATGTTTATATTGTGACCTGCAGATGAAATTAGCTCGACGCTAAATCTGGTGGCGTCACCCAGCTGAGCGGGCGACCCATGAACAGGGGCTTTAGTTCCCCGATGCAGCGGTCGTGGGTTCGACTCCCGCTCACCACCCTTTGCTGCACGTCTCATTCTTCTCCCTCCTTTCCTGTCGCTCTCTGCTGCTCTAATACAGACAAAAAGTCCAGTTTTCCTTTTTTTTCACTGATTTGATTAATTTAAATATCTAGTAAACAAGAAGCCTGTTTTTTCTATTTGCGCGTCAATTCCACGGGTTAAAAACAAAAACCTTCCATCCATGTAGATCCACAGATGACTTCTAAATGCTTCCACCATGTCAGCACACACTTACTTCAGACAACAGAAGTTATGGCTGCGAGGTCAGAGCCGTGAGAACAAAGGACGGGTCAGTGAACGCATCACCTTCTAGTTTATTGTTGTTGTTTTAAAACGAGGCCGTGACCCGTGACTCCTCTGAGCGGTCTGGTGTTCAGACGCACTCACACAGAATGAGGAGAAATCTCAAAAGAAAACAGCGACGCTCATTTTAAAAGGCCTGTTAGTGTTGCATAAAACGCTTCACTGTCTCTTAATTGTGTCCACACTCTCTCCTTGAGGGAAAATAAGAACCACGTTTAGCGTTTCTTGCACCAAACGCTGCCCGGACCGACAGCCGCTGCACCGCTAGAACAAAACTACTACAGTTAGATTAAAATAGCAAGGAGTAGAAGAAAAGACTTTCATGGATGATCAGCGTCAATTTCAACGAAAGACTGAATTCTGTGTATTTTCTACAGAGGAGTGAAGACGAGGAGGCGCTGAGTGAGCGATACGAGGAACTTTTTAAGGCAAGATCACAGCTTTTCTCAGGGTTTCTGCTTCTCCCTGAAGACAGAAATCGAAGCTTCAGCTGCACTTTTACAAACAGAATGAGCGACTGACTAAAACCTGTGTGTTAATGTGTAAGTCAGCAGAGGATACTGTCGGATTTTCTTTTTTAAAACTTTCTGCAGCACCTTGGAATTCAATTAAACGTGAAGCTGTTGAGTGAAATGAAGCCAGAATTCCACCTGATCGGCATCACATCGGAGGCACCGACGCCAAAATGAGTCACTTTTTACAGCGTTTGAGGCCTTAAAGTTAAACAAGCTACAACATGGCATGATTATTTTCAATCAGGATTAAAGATAGAGCTTTGGTTTTTATATCTACAGTTGCTGATGTTTTAAATCCTCTCATCGTTATCTCTAATAATTATGATTATGAAAAAAGCAATAAATGTACAATTAAGCAAAAAACTTGAACCATAACAATCTATTTCTCATTTATATATAATATTATGAGAAAGATTTGCAGCAATTAATCGATAATATTTTCATTTATTGGAATGAAGCTTTTTTTTTACTGACTTTCTGTTAAAAACTTCTTTTATAACTTGTTGTATCTGACAATTTCTTTTATTTACAGTTTGAAAACATGCTTAATATACATGCAGCACAACAGAAGGTACTAAACATCCTGCAGATGTCTCGTTGTGTTGTGAACGCTGTAAACAACGCGCCCTTCGCATCGGTGCAGCAGATCCGACCCAGACCTCCGCACAGGTTTTTCATCTCTTCTCTCCGCTTTTGATATCACAATAACAACAAGCTGCGGCTCTTTAAAACTCCTGCAAAACCAACATCAAAGTGCCGTTTTTCGTTTTATTTCCTCTTATTCAGGCTCACAGCGTCCCAATCATATAACGGATCAAGATGGTGCAGCGGACCGATGGAGCCCGAACAGCTTTCAGCATCACCAGAGGAAAAAATCTGGAGATTCCTGCTGCACATGTTGCAGTAAAGATGTCCAAGCGGCGCGTAATCAGCTAATCTGATAGTTCTCGTCCCAGCTTTTCATCACAAAGACCCTCAAAAAAGTCACATCACGCAAGAGCTCCAAACACCGAAACATTTGTTTTTCCATCACCGGGCCCAGATATTAACGCTGGGCATGTAGCAGAGTAACTTTACCCGTTTGCCCTTCGCAGGCCACAGCCGGGCAAATCCTCTTAAAGCCGATGGAGAAACAGTTGAGGAATTTTTTTAACAAGCCAACAAACACCGCTGCCCACGGCATCCGACATTTTCATGTGACACTGGTCAAGCCGGAGCGTCGTAAAAAGCAGTATATTGCAAAATTTCGCGTGCATGCTTGAGGTCTCCGATTGCCTCCGTGCAGGATTTTACTCGCCGTTCAGTCCTCAAACGGATTCCTGGAACCGTTTAAACGACTAAAGATAGGATCCAAAAGTCCATTTGTCTTACCTGTAGGTTACCGCAGCCAGCTGTTCTGATAGTATGGCAGCCTCGGAGTTTGTCTCGTTTTCTCGCTGCTCTCCGCTCTTCTTTTCTCGCTACACGTCTTTAATTTCTTCTCCTCGTTTGGTCCACAGCTCCTCTTTTACTCTCCTCCTGCTCTTTTTAACACTTCTGATTTTCTTTTTTCTCCTCCTCCTCCCTAAAGTACCTTCTTCTATTCTTGCTTCGTGTCAGTGTCTTTGCTCCCCCTTGCCTCTGCTCCTCTCTGCCTGTAAAGCCTTTCTATAAGATCTGATTCGATCCCCCTTCTCCTGCGTTTCTTCTTCTATCTCTGCTTGAATAGCCGTACCTTGCCCTGCTGTAGATAATAAAGACATAGTGGGAGATTTGTACTGGAGGCGGGACCAGTGCTGTGGGGTTCTTGAGGGGGGTGGGAGGAGGTGGAAAAGGTCAAATTATGCCGAGGATGGACTGATAAATGTGAACCAGATCTCCCTGTAAAGTGCTGCTGATGGTGCCACTGATCCCTGAGCTGCTCAGGAGCCAATAATTGGCCTTCCTGTTTCGAGCCCTTTCATTTGCTCGTAACGTTCGGCTACTTTGCTCACATGAAAGGTTCATTTCGATACGCACTGACAGACGCTCCCTTAACCTCCGAGGGGGGTTTGTGCATTTCCCAGGATGCCTTTCTGATCAGACATGAGTCTAACTCTGGCTCGGTGATGAGTCTGTAGCGGAAAGCTATTATGCATCATATTTACCAGCTTAGTTTAGCTTGTTAGCATGCTGGTCTGAGTTAATTAGCACAGGGTCGAGCAAATGTAAGGAGTGTTTTTGTGCATTTAGCCCTAAACCTTTGCATGGTGAAGCTGGGAAAAGCCCCCAAAGAGCCTCCACAGGATAAAGGAGGTACAACGGATGGACACAACATAGAAGAGAATAAAATCGTTTCTGCAGGAATCCCGTCGCTGCATTCATAATATCAGACCAAACTATTAACTAAACTATTTTAAAATACAGTAGGAGATGTTCAAGTATAAAATAGAAACCTATAAAAGCTATGAAACTTTTAAAAGGTAGCTTATTTAGTGTGTTAAAACAGCAGTGTAATGAATGAAAGTAGCGCCAAAATGACATCCAAGGTGCAGCTGTATGTAAATGTGCAGTCTGAGAAAATAAATACAAGGTGCGTACGGTAGTAGGTGCAAAGGTGTCCATGTTTCCCAGTGAGCAAGTCCACATGAAGCAGATTCAGCTAAACTGAGTTGAGTTGCGAGTCGACCAGATTTCATTTGTCGCTTCAGCTTTCTCGTCAGAAACTGGAAAACCTGAAACCCAGGTTTATTTGGGCCGCTTCAAAGTTCACCTCCTTAACCCCAATTCCACAGCGCAGCTAAAACGTTGACATTTTTATTGCGTAACGTCGGGCTTATCTGACCTGATGGAGCTCAGTTTCATCCAGAGCAGCTTTAAGACAAATACCTCCACTCCATAAAACTGGAATCTGTGACAAACGGTCGACGTGTCAGACGCGTAAAGTAACCCCGATCGTAAGTTACCGTCAGAACCTGCGTCATTCAAGTTACTGCCGCTGCCATGTGTGTAGATGCACACGGTTGGAAGCAGCAGGCAAACAGGCGCAGTGCTGCAGGTATCTATTACAGTCAAACAAAAGAATGTGACACACCGCCAGCTGTGGGCAGCAAACAGGGCGTCAGTGGATTTATTCATCTTTCTGCAAGGTCCTGAATCGCACTAAAAAAAGTCACTGCATCAGCCATGTTTGATCCAACACGTTTCAGATCCGCCAGAGTCGCACTCATGGCTGTATGTTGACAGTTTATCGTGTCACAGAGACCACAGTGTGCTGCAGCGCTGCCTGGACACACATCAGAGGCTCAATGATGCTGAAACACCAGCTGAACCCAGGAAACATCAGCGATGGAGGTGCATCAGGATGATGTCCTACGACACGGAGGAGAAGTAAAAGACGATGCGTAATGTTGAAGCACTCTTTGCAACACTGAGGCTTTTAAACACTGCGGTTTGAATTCTGGAGGAGTCTCTGTGCAGAAATGTGATTTTTAAAAAGCTTGAAACACCAGAAACAGCTCTGCTTAAGTAAAAAAGAAAAAAAGACTTGACTGCCTGTGATCCACCCACAGACTGTATCGTCCTGGTATGTGCAACAACAGATTGTCTTGTCTCTACGAAGCTCCACTTTGTTATCTGCTCTGTTACACTAACTTTGAAGACCAGAACTATGCAGGAGAAGTATCCAGAGGCAGCTTACAGGAGGGACTCCAGGTTTTTAGCATTGTGTTCACTGCTGGTTCAGCCAAAGTTTTACATAACAAATGGGAATACATTGAGAATAGATGGGAGATAAGAGCAGGCTTTATAAAACAAGGACACATGTAACATTATCTCTGTTCTATATTGGCGATGGCAGATTGGTATTCTGAGGTTTGTCAAGATATCTGAAATAGCTGAAAAGGTCGACCTGCTGGTGGTGCCAGAGGAAAAGTCCAAGTAAACAAACACATCTACAGAATACACCAACTGATCCGTCGTATAGAAACACGTCATGGAAAGCGCAGCAGGCAAGAAACAAAACTTTACTGGAAAGTTTATGTTTTGTCTTCGATTTTGTTTGCATTTGCCGCTTGTCCTCAAGCA